TAAATTGGCTGATGTTTTATTCAGCTCTAAGGCTCAAGAGACCTATTTTAACACATTCACAACTCTTTACTTATTGCAACCCCCTCATGCAATGGACAGAAATTGCTACTGCTGATTCTCAACCTCTGGGCAGAATGAGAAAAATAAAACATTATGGGATGGCTAATATCTCATCATTAAAGATGAAAATTCTAAACTAATGTATTGGTGAATGTGCTAAGGGAGCTGAATGTATGTGATGTGACCACAGGGGTCTGAGCGCAGGTGTAATCAGCCCCCATAGGTAGCAGGGTTGACAACTGTCTGGCTGCTGGGTGCCTAAACTCACAACTAATTCCAACTTTGTCCTCTGCCAGGCACCCCTTTCCCAGAGTGTTCAATGGATGCAACAGGAAGGAGCTGGACAGGTATCTGCAGTCAGGTGGTGGAATGTGTCTCTCCAACATGCCAGACACCAGGACGCTGTATGGAGGCCGGAGGTGTGGGAATGGCTACCTGGAAGATGGGGAAGAGTGTGACTGTGGAGAGAAAGAGGTGAGGGGCCACGCTAGTCTAGCGGGAGGGGAAGGCTGTGCATTGGTTCCAAAGCTCAAGGTCAAAAGAGAATGCAATTGAAAATTTCTTAGTCACAGGCATTTCCTGCACATGACTATCCAGGATCCCATGGCAAATAAGATGCGGAGAGTAAGCCTTCCAGGTGGCCTGTTCCTGCAGCTCTCCCGGTTTCTGGCTGGCATTGTTTGTGTTCAGGATTAGTTCCTCTTGTGAGTGTCTGGTCTAACCAGAAGCCAGGACCATGTGGCATGCTGGCTCTCTCTTCCCCCATGTAGCTACAGATGCCTTCTCGGCCTCCAGCTGCACTGAGTTTATTCTGGAGGCCACACGGCCGGATATATGAACTTGAACATGGGCCTTAGGAGGATGCTTAAAATAACAAGCTTGTGCTGTTTAGCCTGAGAAGAGATGACTGAAAGGGGATGTAGGAAGCGCTGTCAAGTCTCGAAAGGGCGGCTAGGAGGAAGGAGGAGCAGGACTGTTTGTATATAAGCTCTTTCCTTCCTTCTAATCTTCAAAGTGAGTGTGCAGGGCACACAGCAGAGCCCTGTCATTTTTAACAAATGCATATGGGCCTGCAAAAAGCAGAACTGGATCGTTTCAGCTCTATTTTTTGAAGGGTGAAAATATGTATTTTAACACATACATAACAATTTGGGGTAGAATACAATACACGAGTAGCAGTAAACTCTGAGGGTGAGACCGAGGCTCTCTAATATGTAGAAAAAATGATTTGACTTTATAACCTTTTTTATGATGTGATTTTTCTTTTTTTGACACCAGCATGTAACTTTCAGAATAAAATAAGAATTAGTTCAAGACACCCCACCCCCACCGCAAGCTCAGAGATCAGCCCAGACTCTTCAGGAAGGAGGGAGTTGTATTAGTGTGGAGGGCCCAGGGGTGCTGGGGAGCAGCCTGAGAGTGGACCTGGCCACTTGGCTTATATTCCGAGCAGCTGCTCATTCGACAGATACTTGCTGGGTGTGGGCTATGGTGTTGGGTGCTCGGGATGGGGTGGATGACAGAAATAGACAGAGTTCCTGTCCTTGGGGGGCTGATAATCTACAGGGGGAAACACGCATTGTCCAAATAATTGCAGAAGTATATAAATACAGTCCATGGCAAGTGCTCTGAACAGATATAACATGGGGGGGCTGCCTTGCTTGGGTGGGAGGTGACCAGGCAGCCCCTATCAGAAGGCTGTGTTAGTAGCACGAGGAGGGAGGGCACATTTCAGGTAGAGGAGGAGCCTGTGCCCGCAGGTGGGGAGAAATGTGGTGTGGTAGAAGGGCAGGAACCCGGGTCTGCCTGGAGCCCGGGATGACGGGAGATTAATGGGAGAAAAGTGTCCTTGTTCCTTCTCTTAGGGGAGGCAGGTGGACAGGTGTCTGTCGTCAGGCGGTGGGATGTGTCTCTCCAACCTGCTAGACCCTCAGCCAGTTATCGTTATGGTATGGTTAGTGACCATGGGATGGGCCCTAGGCAGGTGTGTGCCTTGGCTAGCCACTGGACTTCCCTGAGCTTAGGGTCCCCATCTGTGGCATGGGGACAAGGCTGTGATGGGGATACATGTGGAGCCCCACACACTGTCAAGAAATGGTTTATGGATTGGCTTGTGAATATTGTAGGAGGGTGATAAGGACCCTCAGAGTCACTGGGGCGTCTCATCATCATTTTAAAATCTCAGGCTGTGGGGCAGGAAGGAAGAGAGGAGAGCGGGAAACCCCTAGAGACAGACCTTCTATTCCAGAAAGGTCCAAGCCAGGGAGGGTTTAGGAAGAGAAACAGATGGAAAAAGAAGTCTGAGGAGACAGGCCCAGGAGTTGACCTAAACTGTTTGGAGAGGCTGTTCCAGTATGCCCTTGCTCCCAGGGCCTCCTTTTATGGAATAATAAGGCCTGGGAGTATGGGGCAGGGATGGGAGAAACAAATCATAGAATTTCCATATAATGTAACATTATGCTAAAAGTCATGTTTTAGAAGAATATGTGGTGACAAGGAGAAATGTGCCTATTATGTTAAATTAAAAA